ACTGGACTGAAGGACGAAACTACAAGGAACATCTTCACGTCAGCCATTAGAACAAAATGAGAGACATTGACCAACATCCCTATGAACACTGGAACTCTATGAAAGAAACCTTCATAACCGTATTAGGAAGGAAGACAAGGAATGGATCTCGACGGATACATGAAAGCTGATAGACGAGAGGAAGATGGTGAAGTGGAAGATGAAGCCCTGCAGTGCAGTGCGGTGCAGTGCAGGGATGAACAACGAAAAGAGAACTGAACACAACCTATAAAACACTACACTGGACAAAGAAGTGAAGAAGAGTGCGTGGAGAGACAAAAGACACTTCTACGACACATTGACAAGTGAAGCAGAATAGGCTGCAGGTAGGAGAGATAGAGACCTGACAACACTATATCAAGTAACCAGGTTACTATCTGAGAAGGAAGAGATCAACACACATGAAACCAATAAAAGATGATGAAGGAAATATAATTACGAAAGAAGAGAAACAAAGGAAACGATGGGCTGACCACTTCAGAAAGCTCTTCAATCGACCACCACCTGCAACTCGTCCTCAAATACCACCAGCAGCTCAGCCATAGAACTACCAGTGAACACAGGCCCCTCCCCCCTCCCTCCCCAAACAAAAGCAGAAGTCGTGAATGGCATAAAGTTGCTGAAATCCGGCAAGGCAGGAGGAGGAGGAGCAGATGGAATTCCGTCAGAAGCACTGAAAACAGACGCAGAGACAACAGCGACGGACATGCTCACACCACTACTGCAGAAGGTTTGGAAGAAAGGTAGGAAGGGTACTTGCCGGTTGATTGGAAGAAGGGCTACCTTGTCAAACTCCCAAAGAAGGGAGACCTAAGTCTTTGCAAGAACTGGTGAGGAATCATGCTCCTGTCCACCCAGAGCAAGCAAAATATTAAGCTGCATCATCCTGGAGAGACTAAAGGATGAACCAGATTCAAAATTACGACCGGAACAGGCTGGCTGACTGGCTTCAGGAAGAACAAATCATGTGGGGATCAAATTGTAACGCTACACTACGCATCATCATAGAAGAGAGTATAGAATGGCAGTCAACGCTCTACCTCAACTTCATCGACTTTGAAAAGGCCTTTGACAGCGTCGACGGAGAAGTAATTTGGCAGTTGCTTCAACACTACGGAGTGCCACAAATCTTTACCAACATCATTCAGCAGCTATATGAAGACGCCACATACCAAGTGATTGACAATGGGAAGCTCAGTGACGCTTTTGAAGTGAAGACAAGCAGGAGTAGGACAAGGCTGCCTACCAGCACCGATGATCTTCCTGGTTGTGGTGAGCTGGATAATACAGCAAACGGTGAGGAGCGAGAAGAGGGCATATGCTGGCTGGACCGATGAAAAGAGCCTAGAAGACTTGGATTTCACCAATGATGCTTTATGTCTAATGTCTTGTCACACAGACTCGAAGATGTGCAGGCAAAAACTAACAAGTTGATAGATAGGTGAGGCAGTGAAGACGGCACGTCAAGTGAACGTAGGGGAGACAGAGGTGATGAAGATACCCAACCAACAACAGCATCAACAACAAGCACCAATCACCATTAACGGGAGAAACCTAAAGGAAGTAGTCTCTTTCACCTACCACCTAGGCAGCATCGTTTCAACTACAGGTGGCGGCACAGATGAGGATGTCAAAACCAGGCAGGATCGGAAAAGTAAGGCAGGTCTTCCTGCATTAACGTGAAATCAGTGTGGAGATCTACTGCACTGCACTGCACTGTACTCAGCATAAAGCGTGAACAAGATCCGGATTTTCAACACAAATGTCAGTCAAGTCAGTACTTCTATATGGTTCAGTATCTTGGCGCGTCACAAAAAGCATTTTCAACAAACTACAGACATTCATCAACAGCTGTCTACGCTCATTGCTGATGATCAGATGGCCAGAAAGAATAAGCAACAAGGAACTGTGACTGGCAACGAACCAACCAAGAACCTATCACCCAACAAATATGCAGAAGGAAGTGGAGATGGATTGGGCATACACTGATAAAACCATTCGGGGACATCATGCACCAGACCAGGCTCTCGAGTGGAATCCAAAGGCGAAACGACTAGTTGGGCATCCGAGGCGAGGATGACATAGGGGAGATCGTGTGAGGAAGAAATGAAAGCTTGTGGGCAGTCGTGGAGCGAGGTTCGAAAGACTGCAGAGAACAGAGTGCACTGGAGACGTGCTACTGAAGCCCTATGTTCCACTAGAAACCCAAAGGACTAACAAAAATAATAACAATAATAATAATACCCAACCACGAACCGATCAAACAGCTAGAAGCCTTAGGTTTGCAGGCTTTTACATGTCTTCTGCAGAATGCTAAGTTATCCGTCTCCGCAAATTTAGTAGCTCTCACCACGACAGACGCCTCTTATCATCCAATCAACTTATTTTTGGATCCATATCACATAAACTGTCAAACTTTCACAAGACTTAACACCTTGTCAAATACATAATCGCACAAAAATACCAAAGTCTCAAACTCTAGTCAAGTTGTGGTACCCAAAACAGCAACACATTCTATCAGTGAACTGATTACTGTGCCAAAACAATGGAATGAGGAACATCAAAGCCCCCAAAATAGCCAACTCACACTTGGACAAAACGACGAACTACACTCGAAAACAGGTACACGTTCTCTCAAAGCGATCTCACTGCCTACGGAAGTGGAAAGCCAGTCCCCGTCTCACCCCGTCACACAAGTCACCACCAAACCAAGTGCTACGCTATCGACCAAACAAAATACTGAAGACATTACTATGTCATCACCAGGGGTTACTCAGCCTACGGCTGCAACGCCACCAGTAATATAAGTGATTCGAATGCTGTCGGATCATCTGCTCCCTACCCTGACCAACAGTCTCTATACCAATCACAATGTGGTAAATACCTCGCTCCTTCCTAGGTAAACAGTACCGAATCGTCGCCACCCAGTACAAAGGGTCATGACATCGTTAGCATGATGTACGCAAAGGACCCACAAGAAATGTACAGAAGTGCTGACTTTTTTCAAGATATATCCAAACATTTTTGTACTCTTAACTCGCTCTCATTTTGCCTGATTAACGCCCGCTCTGTACGCAACAAAATGCGAGAGATAATACTACTATCTCTGATTTGTGATCCGTCCTTGATAATGATTACAGAAGAATGGTGTACCTCTGATATTTGTGACGCAGAGATCTCCATCGACAACTATTCCTTGTTCAGGAGAGACAGACTACATGGTAAGGGAGGAGGGTGCATTATCTATATAAAGTCCGACATCACTACTACACAGTGCCCAACCTCTGAGCTAAATGAGATTGACGACTCAGTATGGATTGTCACCAAACTCACTCGCTCCACATCCCTCCTAATAGGATGCATTTACCGACCCCCTTGCTCCTATGTCGAACACAACCAGAAGCTAACAAGCGTGTTCGCTTGTGTGGCAACACTACCACAGCGAAAATTGTACGTGGCGACTCTAACATGCCAGATATAACGTGGCAACCAATCAGCTATCCAAAGTACCTTGATAAATCCATAAGTATTCTTGAAACAGAGGTTTGGCAACAGCATGTGGAACACCCTACCAAGTACAATAGCGTCCTGGACCTAATTTTCACAAACGGAACCGCACCCACAAAACTCAAAGTAGGTACACAATTTCCAGGCAGTGATCACAAGATAGTATATAGACACTTCGACATATCCAGCACAAAATTAGCTCAAAAGTCAGGAATAGCTCCAGCTAGAAACTACAAGTATGCCAGATGGGATGAACTACTATTGTTTCTGCGCTGCCCAGATTGGAGCCCCTACTTTACCAACAATTCAGCCAAAGAACTCTGTGATCTATTTTATGAATATATAGGCACAGCTCAAGACTATATTGCTCCACCGCTCCAAATAGAAATTAAGAAAAACAGAGTTGACTATATACCTACGGAAGTACGCAACCGCATGCGAATACCATGCCAGAGAGTACTACAAGTCGAATGACTTTTCATTGCTTGTCACGCTCAAAGACACATATGACACATTCAAGGTAGAAAGGGTACTAGATGCCGCTAAATAAGAACGCATCCAATGTAGTAAAACTAGTAATAGAGACGCACTAATGAGACTGATGAAAACCTGGACAAGTAGCTCTAGAAATAATACTCCTAGTTTGTTCATAAACAACGGGATCCTCTACGACGACCCACTACAGATCAACGGGCTGTTCAGCTACCAGTTTGCTAGCTGCTTTGTAAAAGAGGACGAAATAAAAGTCATTGGTGCACCATCAACATCAACTCGCTCGATAAGTACTGTGCTCTTCACTCAATAAAGCTATAGCATCACTTCTAACCTTATACAGTGCGGGACCTGATGGAATTCCAACCATCTTGCTAAAAAGAGGTGGCGAAGATACATCGCTGATTCTCTCGAAGCTCTTTAGTACGTCCCTCTCCAGTGGCAATTACCCTGAGAACTGGAAACTATCATACATATGTCTCAAGCATAAATGTGGACCAACACCTAATATAGAAAACTACCGACCTATAAACATCACGTCAGCAGCATCTAGGACTATGGAAAAGGTGATTGTGAAAGCAGTTGTCGACTACATGACGACAAACCAGTTACTCTCACCAACACAACATGGATTCTAGGAAGACAGGTCATGCGCTTCCAGGTATCTTGACCATCTAGACGATGTTACAAGCAAGCGTGACCAGGGCCTATTTGTAACTACCCTTTTCTTAGACTTTAAGCAAGCATTCGATAGGGTGCCTCACAAACGCCTGGTCACTAAGTTGCAATCATATAGTTTACGTGACCCGTTATTGTCCTGGCTTACAGCATCTTTAGAGGGTCGCTTCCAAGTAGTAAAATTCAGTGATTGCTACCCCTCCCCTAGACCTATACAAGGTGGTGTCACCCAGGGTAGTGTGCCAGGACAGTAACTTTTCCTAATCTATGTAAACGATACCTGCAGCGTTATCCGAAATGGCATACCTTACCTTTTCGTAGACGACTTGAAGATAATCTACAGCTTTTCTCGTGCAGCACTAGCACAAGGTTTCTACTGAATACAAGAAGATATGAAGAGAATATTCACGTAGAGCGTGACCTGTGTGCTCCCTCTAAACTCAAATGAAAGTGGCATCCTCCATTTCACTAAATCCCACCCAGAAGTAACACTGTAGTGGGCGTTGCTGATAACAACGGATATAAGTAGTATTGGCGTCGCTGCCTTAGGACGTGATGAAGATCCCATAGCCTGCAGAGTTCCAGGATGTAGACATCAAGGTTTCCCTCAAGGACCTCTAGGCGGTAGCGGAGCTTGTGGGGGTTCGGGATCCGGGGGCGAAGGTCGTGGTGCTGGGGACGTTGCTGAGGGGCAGAGCGAAAGCAGTCTATGACGGGGTGGAACGTGGTGACGGGGAGGAGACCTGAAGGGAATGGTTCAGCGCTTGAAGGTGGAGTTCGACGGCTCGGCGGACAGGGAGCAGGCGATGCAGCAGTTCCGCAGCGTGAAGCTGGGAATAGATGAAGATCCGCTGGTGCTGGCTGTGAGGCTGACCAAAATAATTCGACGAGTGCTTCACACGTTAAATGAGGAAGCCCAACAACAGTTGCTGACAGCATAGTTCACTGAGAGTGTCCCGAATGCCATTGCCCACCAGTTACGACTAGTCAATGCAGCATTAAATCCCAGTGACCAGCCAGGTAACGATAACATTCATCACACGGCGAATACCATGTCACTTGGAACAAGAAGTTGGGCGCCAGGTTCAGGAAATGCTAGATGAAGGTATTATTGAAGAGGCTGACAGTCCATACAGTTCTTCAGTACTTTTAGTAAGAAAGTCAAATGGGAAATATAGATTCTGCGTGGACTTCCGGGAGTTAAATAGCATAACGCAGCTGAAGCCATGTGCCATGCCGACGATAGCGGAGACACTGGATCGTTTGCAGAATGCGAAAGTATTTACAGTTCTGGACCTCCACTCGGGCTACTGGCAGCTACCAATAAAAGACAGTGGTAAAGAGAAAACAGCATTTATTGTGGGCAAGGAGCAATACCAATTCAAGCGAATGCCATTTGGTCTGGCAGGGGCGCCCTTTACATTTAGACGATTGATGATGTTGTTGCTGAAGAATCTAGAGAACGTAGAGGTGTACGGCGATGACCTGGTGGTGTACAGCCAGACGGAGGCAGAACACATAGAATACCTTGAAGCTGTTTTGAGACGTATCGATGAGTTTGGACTCCGCATCAATAAGACAAAATCTCAAGTAGCCAAGAGGAGTGTTACGTTGCTAGGACACAAAGTTGGAAACGGCGAAATAAAACCACTACCCGAGAAAATTCTGACAGTCAGAACTATTCCAGTGCCGAATTCCAAGAGGAAACTGCGACAATTCTTGGGTAGAGCAGCATTCTACAGTCGGTTCCTCAAAAATTTCAATGAGATAGCAGCACCGTTATATAAGCTACTGGGCAACCCCAAATTTGTGTGGACGGAGGAGGCACAAAAAACATTTGATCACATCAAAGAACTCCTAAATGACCAGGAGATGACGTTAAAACTACCAATACCTGGTAGGCCATTTATCGTGTCCACCGATGCAAGTGATTATGGAATAGGGGCAGTCCTGAGACAGACTGAAGGAGTAGTGGAGTATGCCAGCCGCGTTCTAACACCAGCAGAACAGAAATATTCTACAATGGGAAAGGAATGTCTAGCGATAGTTTGGGCCCTGGAGAAGTGGAGATCGTACCTCCTCGGTCAACGATTCCATATTGAAACGGATCATGAACCTCTACAGTGGCTTAAGACAGCGAGAGACCCCAGAGGAAAATTATCACGTTGGGTGTTACGACTGCAAGAATATGACTTCACCATCGGCCATGTGGCAGGGAAAGAAAACTGGTTGGCAGACTTCTTATCAAGATCTGACGAAGAAAATGAGCTACCTGAGATCGCATACGGCGTACATGCAGTGGAATGGAACCCGTTAAGACTTATTCGCCTTCAGAAGTCGGGCCCGACACTGAAAGAAGTGATCAAAGCCATAACTGAAGGGACAGAGACACAAACGTCTGTGAGAGATAAAGAGTTGAGAACGTTGTTGACGCAGAAAGAACGCCTACGGATGAATACTTATGGAATGCTAACGTGGCGAGAAAATGACGGAAGCTGGTTGGCAGTGATTCCGAAATGTCTACGCAACAAAATGATACAAGAATGCCACCAGTTAGCTCATACAGGTGTCTCACGGACAGCTGACCTTCTCAGACAAAGTGCATACTGGCCAGGTATGAGAGAGGATGTTGCCAAATACGTGCTGGGGTGTCCTCATTGTCAACTGATGAAAGGTGATCGGTATGTACGGCCGCCACTGCAGTCGATTCCAGTAGCAGCGGTTGGTGACCTGTGGTCGGTGGACGTAATGGGACCATTTCCGCAGACACCTAGTGGCAACCAATACCTGTTGGTGATGACGGAGCATGCTACACGATGGGTAGACGCTGTCGCGATTCCTGATCAACGCGCGAAGACAGTGACCGCAGCGGTGATGCGGCATATTATCGCGGATCACGGTGTGCCGAAGATGATACTGACCGACCAAGGTCCTTGTTTTGAGAGTGAAGAATTTAAATCCTGTTTGGAGCAGCTTGATATCAAGAGGATAAGAACGACGCCGTACCACCCACAGACTAACGGTTTGACAGAACGGAATAACCGTACACTGAAGGAGTGGCTAGCTTCGAAAGGAGGAAATTGGGAGACGGAACTGCCGTTAGTATTATTAGCTCATCGTGCCTCGGTACAAGGAACAACCAAGAAGTCGGCGTTCCAGTTAATGTATGGCAGGAAACCACGGCTCCCGATACATAGTAAGACCTGGCCCCAACAACAGCCTTGGAACATGACAAGATTGAGAGAGGAGCGGAAACAGGCTATCAGGAATGTGGAACGAAAGCAGAAGGCTGATGCTGAAAAATCTGAGCAGAGAGAAGGAAGTAAATGGAAACCATTTGAGGTTGGAGATCAGGTGAAATGTAAAGAACGAGGATATACGTCAGGAGGTGAGTATGGCAGAAGGAAACTACTTCCGAAGTGGAAGGACCATACATCATTACCGAGAGACGCGGTTCAATTTATACCATCAAACAAGGGAACAAAGAGAAAAGAGTAAACGCCAGCCTACTTCAAAAATGGAAGCAGTGGAAAAAAGACGAAACAGCGAGTGAAAACCAAGAGAAGACAGCACCAAGACGATCAACACGGTTGCAAGCCCGGAATTTTGAGGGGGGGACGAGTGTAGTGGGCGTTGCTGATAACAACGGATATAAGTAGTATATATCGAGAGGGTGGCAGGAATCATAGGGAATTACCGGCAATGGGTAAGGTTTCTGCCAAGAGCAACGCAGGGGAAAACACAGGCGTATTACAGGGGATGCTGCTGATAAGAGTGTATGAAGAGCCGGTCAAGAGCAAATCAAGACAGGAACGGAGAGGAAACGAAGACATTTGCAAATGGCTGCGTTAGTGCAAGGAGTATCATATGTAACCACTACCATTCCGATTGTTCATAATGCACATTTTCCATCGAGTTGTCTTCTGTTTCTTCAGCCCTACACCTGGGTGACATCGCACTGCAGATATACAACACTGTGAAAGACCTCGGGATCGTTCGCTCTAGGAGTTTGACTTTTACGGAGTATGCAGATTCAATGTTTTCCAAAGGTGGAAGACTCATAGGTCTTCTACACAGAAACATACACCTTAGGCCGAACTTATACTATACAAAGTTATGGCTCACCCAATATTAGAGTATTGCCCGATTATCTATAGTAACATGAAAGTATCTGATAGAATTCGGGTTGAGAACGTCCAACGAAACTTTACTCGGCGCCTACTAATACACAACGAAGGACTTCCTTATGAAGCAAGGTACAAAAAACTAGAACTAGAATCACTCTTGCAGAGACGCCAGAAGCTTAAGCTGACCTTTCTTTTTCGTCTTTTATTTGGAAAATCTAGAACGAACCATGCTATTGCTTTTAAATCAAGACCGGCATATAGTCTGCTTAATGGCGAGCACACCGTCCCAATAAATAAGTACCGCTCAAAACTTCGATGTAGGTTTTTCATAGCGCAATACAGTACTCTGTGGGACAAACTTCCCGCTCCTATACGAGCAAGTCGATCTCTCGGCCAGTTCCAACGATCACTTAGTGAATTCTTCCTATCTAACGATTCTCACCAATTTGTTGACGGCCAAATCACAAACTGTAATACCATGTACAATGGTGCTACTGGTACCTAGGCTCAAGGGAGACTAACAGCAATGAAAAAAGTATACAATACCGAAAACTAAACGCATAAGTTAAGATAAAATCTAATTTTAAACAAAAAATTTGACCAAGAATGGGCAGGAATCCAGCCAAACAGGAATGCTGAAATAATGCGGGTCAACGCAGTAATTAGGAATGCTGAAATGCGACAATTAAGCGGATTTTTACGGACTACCCGCATTATTTACGCACTTGTAGAATAATTTCAGCGTGCATGCGTAAATGCAGGTTTCTTTACGCAAAATGCCAGCCTTATTTCCGCATTTTACGCATTATTTCCGCGGTGCAGGAAAAATTTGGGTTAAGAATTCCTACCCCTTAAGCCTGGATGGCAATATATACTCTATTCACATCATTATCTCAGCAATGACCGCTTTATTTACGCAAAATTCCAGCCTTATTTCCGCACTATTTCGGCGCTGACCGCTTCATTTACGCAAAATTACGGCCTTAGTGAAGCACTATTTCAGCACTCACCTCTTTATCGACGCGAAATTTCGGCATTCTATGATTAAATTACTCAACATATCGCAATGCTTCCAAACATTTCTCAGAGAAAGTAAAAAGTACACATCGTTTTATGGTGTTTATATTTATCGAAATTATTTACAAGAAATTTATTTCAATTGTCGCTTCTCATTCATTTTCGTTTCTACAATCATCGGCTTCCTAAAAAAAATTGTAACTTAGTACAAAGCGACATTGATCACGTTTGCAAATATAATTGCAGAATTTAAAGTAAACCCACCGGTTCCGTTTGTTCTTCTGTATTGCTGAAAGTTGTCGGCTGTAAACATGAAAGAGTAGAAATTCAGTTTTTTTGGGGGCTGTGAGATGATTAAAGGTTAAGGGGATGTACAATAGAACTTACGAATGCTTTCGGCCTAAAACACCTTGTCCCGTGTATTGTGGAAGTAGGACTTTGTAGTAGCATCCATTATACCTTTAATTTCGCGTTGAGATATGAGTGGACCAGCGAACTTGGATGTGATAACAGCTACGGAGAGGATAGTGATTAACGTGAATCTTACATCTCATGATTTTATAGAAACTATAGTTGACGATCCCAGCCTTTCTTGAAGTTCCAAGCATGGTAAACTGCATGCCGAGATGAGGTTTCAAGACGCTGTTCATCATCACTTTCAAAGATGACTTCGGCTTATCTTGCACTTTAGCCATCATCTTCGCGGTCTGCAATTTTAGAATTCATCAATTGTAACTCACAAATATCCCTCTGAAGTTTTCATCCTTCAAAGACGCTTTTAAAAATTCTAACGACCTCGGTTACCAGTGGAAAGTGTACATGGAAGTCATCGATTGAAATGGTACTTGAGAATACCGTTCTGTTCTGCGTTTCAGCAGAGAAAAGTGAAAGAAGCCTCGTTGTTAGTTTCAAACTTTCAGTAATTCCCTCTGAATATTATAATGCGTTTGTTAATTAAAACTTACACATCATTTTGTGTTGCAATTTAATCATCCCTTTTATATACAATTCAAGTCTAGGGGACATAGGAGTGTTCGACGTAAACTGTTATGTAAACTTACAGGCTGCCTAAGTGGTCGTCATTTCTGGTTGGTGGTAGTACAGGGGAAGATGCAGCAAACTTTCCTCCACTCGACGTGCTAGAGAAACTTAGGCGACATTCGAAAACTTACCTTGCGATTGGTGACAGAAGTGGATCCAGGTATTGCGTCAATGGATATTGCTCTGACTACATTCTGTCTGCATTTCAGCCACATCAACGTCAACCGAGTTGTACAGGAAGTCCGATGAAGGCTTTCGACATTCTCTGGAGAATTATTAGCGGTGTGATACGATTTGCAACAGTGGACTGTGTAGCTACTCTGATGTAACCTCCACTTCTTCGTGACCTAACTGATCTCTCGACTTAGCATCTATTTCTTAAAATTCTTCCCTTAAAATAATCTATTTACCCCTGACTGATAAATGAACTGTTTGTCGGTGGATATTTTTAGCATGTAACATGTTTTATTATTTGCCCTTTGTTGTCAGTACTTACATTTAAGTACTCTGCACCACCACATTGTTTCTATAGCCCTGATATGGTAACACTCAACAGGCAACACCATGATCACCCCTCCACCATAACTACATAAAGCGTGGTTACCATCTTAGCAAAAACATGGATTTTATTTAAATGTTTATAACTTCATTAAACTTTTGTACATAGGTTTTCTAAACATAAGCAAATACCTGGTCCAAAATCCTCTACATTCCATAGTGATATCTTCAGCTTCAGTTTAGTTTCCACTACTTTCGCATGTACCTTCACCTTCTTCCTCATAAGCTAACCTCTAAATAGTTGGTTTTGGATGCCTCTTCAAGTAACTTTTGTAGTCAGTACAAAGAACTCACCAAGATGTATCATGATTGATTTACGCCTGCATAGTATTTTTGTGCTCCTGTTTCGAATTTCACCTGCAGCCCGATTTTGTTATTCATTTTTCAGGTCTACCTAACCAGTCCTTCATCCATACGGAATCCCAGCAATCGCATTTGTCAGTGTTCATCATGCCATCAAAACTTTATGACGGACGCATACAAACCAAGGTCACAAACTTCAAACTTCGTGTTGTAGAATAAGTGAACGGTGGTTCCTTGGGTTCTACGTTTGTCTTATTGGATACGTTCTGAGTTTGGAATGGTCACAGTTATATTCCCGGTTCTGAAAAACCTGAGAGGATAGAGATACGATTATTAATTAATCTGGCCTCAAGGTAGTATTACTGCATCTGATCTAGGGAAAGCTTTTCGAGTACAGCCCATCGGTACCGTGGGACTCAAGGTGTGCGTCTAACCTCCTTTTAAAAGTATCAGGGGATGCGGCTGTAACCACTGCTGAAGGGAGGAGTTCCACATTTCACAGACTCTAACTGCAAATGAGTTAGCACGGATCTTTGTACGTGCTCTATTCTTAACGGGTGACCCTCAGGTCGCGTTTCCGACTGAAGCTTAGAAGGGATCTGTTAGGATGGAGGGGATTATGGGCGGTGTGGTACATCATGATCATATCCCCTCTGATCCTCCGGTATTGTACTGAGTGCAGCTGAAGAGCAACTAAGCGATCTGGGTACGATTTGTGCCGTAACCCAATCACTTTCTTTGTAGCTCTTCTCTGTACCCGTTCTAGGATGGCTATGTCCTTTTCCAAGTATGGGGACATCACAGGCGAATTTTTTCTAGATGAGGGTGAACGTACAGAGCATACACTGTGGTGTAAAGAGAAGGAGTTAGACACCCTAAGTTCGCGAGAGAAACCCCAGGATTCCATAAGCCCTATTGGCTACAAGGAGACAGTGGACTGAGGCTCCTAGTGTATCATTTAGTGTAACTCCCAGGTCTTGTTCCATGTTAGGGTGATAGATATTTATTTCACCCAGAGAGTAAGAACTGGGACTGCCTTTATGTTTGTAAACTATCATAATTCGACACTTCTTCGAGTTGAGAGGAAGCAGGTTTTCTGTAGTCCAATTAGGGATTTTCGTAAGGTCCTCCGAAGACTGAAATATCCGTTGGCTCCTGTATTTCCCTCGAGATCTTCAGATCACCGGCATATAATAGTGAATGTGAATTAAGGATCCCTGGTAGGTCATTGACAAAAGCAAGAAACAGTAGTGGGCCCAATATAGAACCTTGAGGCACACCACTCAGCATCGGGAACCAACTGTACTACCTGCCCCACCTTCAAGAATATTGGGAGATTCAAACAATGGCCAAATAATTCCTAATTTCGAACTGAGCTTGCTTCAGTATGCTGAACAATTATTCTGCGAAGCATTAACGTTCTTTCACTTGACGCACCTCTTATGTGCCATGAATAACGGTATCTAACGTTCAGCTTAACATTGTACATAACAGTCATTTCTCATTACCAAAATGATCAAACCTGTAAACTGGTTTGTATTCATGCAACTAATGTTGTATGAAATATATTATTGCTAACTGCTTTTCATCCTAGTTTTATCCAAAGGACTTGTCTGACATGGTAGAACATCGGGTGAACGAGCGTCGGGTGGTTGTGACATGCCAGTCTTACAACCACATCAAGTTAACAGCTACCGGTCGGGTCAGTTTGCACGACCCTACACTAAATCATACCTGACGACTGGCTGCTCACTTCCGTTCGTTTCTGCTTCACTGGATTGTATGACCCCTGAACAAAGCGAAGCATTTTTATAACATCTAGGTAGTTAGCACCTTTCTCATTACATGAAGTGTATCATGACAG